AGCCAATCAAGAGACAAAAAGAGCCAAAAAACAGACAGGAGATATTAGAAACACCAATCAAGCAGAACACAGCACACTCCAAGACCAATAAACACAGACCAAGACTCCCAACCAATCAGGGTGAAGAAAAAACCATTCTGGCACAGCAATAGGCTGCCCCAAATTTAAATCTGAAACCACTGTAAAAGCCTGACTCACAGATGAACACTATACAGAAGCCTGATGATGGCAGATGAGATTCTGCTGAAACGTTGCTACAACTTTAAAAGAACAACTACAATGACGTGGGAAAATACCCAAACAAAGCTGAATGCCATACATGTAAGTACCCGCGAAAAAATTTTTTTGAACGCCATCACTCTGGTAAACAAATAATTCCCACAACACTGTCGAACTATTTACTAAGTTTGCATTACTATTAATATTAATCATCTCATCACTCCTTATCACCCATCCCCTCCCACTTATGACTATATGACTGTTTGTATCCAAATGATTTTATTGACTATTTCTTAATAATATTTGATTGCTTATTGTAACCTATGGCTATTATTAAGTGTTGTACCTTATGATTCTTGACTCTTGACTAATGTATCTTTTCTTTTATGTACACTGAGAACATATGCACCAAGACAAATTCCTTGTGTGTCCTGTGACACATGGCCAATAATAATAATAATAATAATAATAATAGTAATAATAATAATAATAATAATAATAATAATAATTATCATCATCATCATCATCATCATCATCATCATTATCATTTATTTTTTCCATGGTCCATGAGTTCTAACTTATCTTCTTTCAAAACAAAGAGGTATTTAATCTCTCCCTTCATGAGATTATGCTCTAATTAAAACACAGTTCTGTATAGGACCCAGTGGCCACTGAAGAACAACTAAAAGAAGAAGATGTTTGAGCAGAATGCTCCCTAAATATATCAGAGCACCCTACATAGAAATTTCCACAGCATAACCATGTTCAAATGAATGAAGTTAAAACAATTTTTTTTACCAGGAAAAATGTGAACTATTATGCCTGGGAAAAAAATCACTGTTGTAATTCATGAACAAAATGTCAATTTTGTTACCTCTCTTTATTATGATCACTGCATGATCACTGCAATTTCTTATATATTTCTGCCAGCAATGCGTGAGGTTCTTAAAACTGTCACTAAATAAATTACTTGCTTTGTCTCTTGTTCAGCCAGAGCTGACATTTTCTTCTATGACTTTTTTTTGAGGTAAACAAATTTTCTTTCCCTATACTGTGTTTTATTGTTTTCAAGCCACCTGGAATTGTGGTGTGTGAGTAAGCAACTATATACATTTTCTAAATAAATAAATAAATAAATCCCAGGGGGGGGAAGTCTGTCTGATTTAATTGTTCTTTCAAGATTGTGATTGTTGAAATGTAAGTGTCAGAGAAAAGTTGCTATATATACTCATAGCATATCAAGTATTTAGTTAGAATTTCCTAAACTAGAGTTGGTGAAATTTCAAAATAAAATTTGGGCATGTTATGGCTTAACACTGGTGAGATACTTTACATGTGCATTCAAGAACAATTCATTCTTCCGGTTTGAGCTTCTTCAGCGACAGACCGAAACCTCGTTTTTGCGAGGCTTCGACCCATGCTCACCGCTGGAGCCCCCTGAGCCAGCTGGTTTCGGGGCTAATCCACCCTGTAGAGGTGGTGAAGAGGGGGGAGACTGCCTGCAGGGTTGAGGAGAGCCACATCTCTCCTCCCCAGCTGGCCATTTCTCCCTTTCCCGAAGGCGGTTGCAGCAGTGGTCAGAAATGGCCACCACAAAGAAGAACTCGACCGGAAAAGAAGGTGCAGGAGGAAGATAAGAAGAGAAAGTTTTGGTTGACCGGGTCAAACAGCAAAAGCAACAAATAAGGTACCCTGGAATTGAAACTATTAAAAAACAACAATGATATATTCATCATGGCGGCGCCCAACTAGGAAGGTGAAGCTCTCACTCCTGGAGCACTATCTCCCTATAAAGCCACCACCTGAACCAGAAATCACTTTTAAAGCTGCTGCTTGCACCAGTAACCGTGAGTAAACCTGATCCCAAAAAAACAAGCCCAAAAACACTGGATTCTGAAGCCGTGGAGCCCAAATAATGCTAGCATAGATCCTGCTAATTGATCCGGAGTCCTCCTCTCCCTCCCCAGAGAAGTGAAGCTCTTCCATCGAGCCCTAGTAACCACACTGGTAGAGCTCTGGAACTGATCACTTGGAGCCCGAGGAGTGCAAACAACGTACCTTCATTTAAATCCCTCACACAGCTGATAGAAGTATCTTCCACGCCAGACAACGCGTTTCCATTAATATCCCCCACACAGTTTCCCCGGAGCCACATCGGACAGCTGGCAGGGAGAAACAAGGAGGGAGGAGAAAGCCCCAAGGCTCTTAGGAGCCAAAAGTTACCCTGGACGGCAGAGGAAGGCTTCGGTTGTTGAGACGAGAGGACAGTCTCCTTGACTGACCCGAAGAAAACCACTCCATCCGAACTAAAAAGAGAATTGCCTGCATAGCTAAATCAAAACCAGTAAGTCAGCTGAGACAGAAGTGAAAAAGTAAGGAAAGATCTTGTAACAGCGTGCTTAGTCTTGGTTAGAATCACTCAAATTTCTGCAGTGGAATTTTCCTCGGAAAGTGGGACTCAAAGGAGGAAAATAACTGTGATTAACGATCTGGAGTGACTGTCAGATTTAGTTAAAAAAAGGTATTGCAACTAGAAGTAACTTTAAAAGTAAAGGACAGATTGGATTAGTTAACCCAAATTTCTGGACTGTATTTTTAGTACTATTCAACTTGAAGAACTTTAGAAAACTATTGCAAAACAATCTTATTCAGAGACATACTGATTGTAGTTAAAGTGTTTTAATTCAGCGAGTTTTGCTCTCTTTCAAAAACCCAGCGTGCTTTGAACATCCTGTTACAGCCTTTTGTTTACAGAGCAATAACAGCAGCATTCAGAGCAATAAATTCCTCTTACCCAGTCTATCACAGCTGCTAGAAAAACAAACAACCCTTTCCTTAAAGACTCTCAATACTACCTCATTACTTTAATCCAACACCCATTAATTCATTACCTCAAAACTTACAACTTTTCTACCTCATCACCTACATCAATGATTAGATAATCAATTTCTATAAAATATTTTATTAATGGTTTAATTGATTTATTGTATTAATTGATTGTTGTGATTGGAGTGTTTAGTGCAAAGAGTGTGATTATTGACTAGTTTAAAAGATCAAGATTCATGTAATTTAATTGATTAGTAAAATCAGTGATTTAGTGAATTTAATTGAACAGTGTGACTAATGATTAGTGTAATTAATTGATTAGTAGTTAGTGTAATTAATTGATTAGGTTGATTGTTGCTTAGGAAATTATCTGACTAGAGAGATTACTGCAATTGATTGATTGGTGTGATATTGGCTATATTGATTACCCAAAATTGTTCCATTAATTAATTCAATCAACGTACTATCTTAACAAACCTACCATGCCAAGAAAAAAATCCAATGCCAAACCACAACCTAAAGAGAATTTAATCCCCAACAATGAACCACAAGACTCCTGCACATGCCTTAAATGCTACAAAACTCTAAAGGATAATGAAAACTCCATCAAATGTTCTCTGTGTAACAAATATGCTCATCATGACTGCTTGGGATTACCCAAGCAATTGATTCAATACCTAGAATCATCCAATGAGTTTCCATTTCTCTGCAATTCATGCAGACCCAAACTGGATCTGTTGGAAAGAGTCGATACCATTGAAACACGATTAACATCCCTTGACACCAAAGTAGCATCCCTGGATACCTTAAAAGAAAGATTATCCAACCTCGAAAAAAAAGACACAACGCAAAAACCTGAACATCCAATAGCTACAAACCACATCTCTACTCAACAACCACAACCCAATCCACAACCCAATCCACAAAAAAACATAACCCAGACAAATATTGATATCCCAATCCTCATCAGAGAGGCTGTTGAGCGTGAACGGAAACGTCCAAACGCCATCTTATTTGGTCTAGAGGGCATCAATGATAATGATGACATCACAACTGTCCGAAACATCATCAGTGATTATCAAGCATCAACCATCTCCCCTGATGAAATACTTGACATTTCCCGCATTGGCCAAGAGCTCAAAAACAGTGACAGCTCTGTGACCCCACGCTTCTGCAGGGTCATTTTCAAAAATGAATCAAGCAAACGCAAATTCATTTACACTATAAATTCACTCACCAAAACCAACACCAACCATAAGAACCTCCGTTGTCGCCCTGACCTAACCATACAGCAACGTGCCCGCTCCCGTGTACTCCGCACTGAACTCAAAAAAACGTCTCGACAATGGAGAGA